ACACACACACACACACACACACACACACACACACACAGAAGATGTAAATCTCCTTCTCCGAGGGAAATCTCCACCCCAGTTTGACGCTAGTTTGGCTGGTGAGCCTCAACGGTCAACGGAGAACAAAAACTAGGGGAATACACGGAAGAAGGGAAAGTCCTTTCTCTCAGCCCACGTCCTTTCCCCTTCCAAGAAAACAAAGGTTCCCCAAGAGAACAGACTACGGGAGGGCAGCTCCAAATGCCAGATCCTGACCAGCGCGCACGGGTGAGGCGAGACGTGAGGAGAACCCTGTGAAGCCAGGACTCACCCTGCCACCCCACGGAGAGTACCAGCGGACGTAGAAACAAGGCAAGAGAACAAACAGAATGAAAGAAATGGGTTTGTTTGTTTTTTTTAACTCTATCCTTTTAAAGACGTGAAGAAACAGGACCCTTCTGATGAAGCAGTGACGAGGTCAGAGGGCACCCAGAAAGACCCCAGGTGCTGTCACAAGGACACAGTAGAAGAGCTATGTCAGCCGCTGCCTGCCCGAACTAGTCGGCTGCTCTGTGGAGTGCTCCACTGTCTGGGCCGAGGACACGTAACGTCCAATGCTGCAAGGATGCTCTCAAAACTCTCTACCATTTCCACCTCCACTAAACTGCAAATCCAGAGAACAAAAAATTATTGAGGTATTCTTGATCTTTTGTTCCCCAGACTCAAATCCTACAAAGAACTCAGCAGCGGCCCTTGAGGAAACTGATCGCGGCAGCACTAAGAGACCTCTGGAGCACAGCATCAACCTCAGGCGACAAGACAGCGGCAAATAAAGGAAAGCAGATCACCCGTGGGTCTTCACAAACAGAAGTCCGAGCCAGTAGTGGCGCAAACTAGCACCCCCTTCCAATTTCATGAGTTTCCTCGTTTGGACAATAAACCATACAGTCTCTCTAGCCTGAATTTGGTTCATTCAACACGTTCAGTTAGTTCCAAATGGTAAGTATCACGTATCTGTAAAACGCACTGATCGATCCATTGGCCAAATGGTGGCTCATGGAGAGAAGACGAGGATAGGAGATAAAAGGGCTCACTGACGTCCACTGTGACCTGCATGTCACCAACATCAACCTACACCTCAGCGCCCAAAAAGATAATAAATAAATAAAAATAAAAATGAAAAGCTATGAAGAAACGCGAAGGCATTCCGTTCAAGCGGAGATGGTTTTCCACTTGCAGGTTAAATTCATCATACTGGGGACTATTACTGAACGTACTTCTGGACCAACGTCTCTCGTAAGCAGGCACACCATGTTAAGTGGGTACCGATAAGTCTGTTTAACTGTAAAGGGCAGTAATTGTAAGTAACAGGAATTTTTTTTAATCCCCAAACTGTCATTAATAACCAGGAACGCTGGTGATGTAACCTGATTTGAACACCTGATACAATGGCAGGATACTATAATTGGCCCCATCTCAGACCTCCCACACATATACCAGTGACCCAACAATTAGGAACGCGTTTATCCCACATCTAAGGCGCCATAACTCAACTAGTACAGAGAGTTTCTGTCAAAAAAGACCTCGTCTTCCAAAGACGTTGTTTGTAAAATGAGACTCGTTATTTCAACGTTGTTCAAGCCTCCGAAGACAATCCTTTCCCTCGTGCGCTCGCGCACGCACACGCACACACACACACACACGTGCACTCCCATTTATAATTGAGTTCCCACCCCTAAAATCAAGGGCATCGTCTAGAGCACTCATGTCTACAGATCTGTCACCGAAACACCAAAACGTAAGGGATACTCTACTTGTCCACTCGTATCTGCAGCCTGCTGGAAGTGTGTGGCCAGCGACGTCTCGTCCTGGAAAACTTCGTTACACTCCAAACATTTCAGACTATGCCTGCAGAGCTTGGATGGGTCTTCGTCTAGAGGCATAGCTGGAATGATGGGTGTGCTGGAGGGAGCGGATATGACTGTCCCGGTGATGCCAGCCTGAATCTTCGTTACAGTGTGTGTGCCGGCTCCCGCGGAGCCTGGAAGAGCAGAGGACGAAGCGGAAGTATTGCTCGACGGAGAGACAATCATCTGATCGGCTGGGACTGGCTTTAAAATCAAGTGGGAGCACTGCATCACAACCCCCTTCTCCTTGTGCCCGCGGGCGTGGGAAAGGAGACTGCACTTGTTGTAAAAAACGAGGTTCTTTGTACAGTGGTTACACGTCACTTCGATGCGCACGCTGCGTCGGTCGTAGTGCTGGGTCAGACTCTTCTCCAGGGCAAAGGAGTCGCCACACTCCAAGCACTTGTACCCGCGGGTCGGTAACGTGATGCCTGCGTTGGCAGGAGGACTGAGGTTGGGGATGTAAACTGGGACCGGGTTGACGCTGCTCAGCACCTTGTTGAAAGCTTCCACCACGGAACTCTGCAAGGAGGACACCACCTGGACCCGAGACACCTTTTTGGGTGGTTGCGAGGCTGCTGCATTGATTATTGCCTGCTTTATTTGCTGCTGAGGTTTGGTTAGCACTTGGCGGAGCTCGGAGGTGGCCTGGGCGCCCTGAGGCAGAAGGTTAAGGTTGGCGAGGTGCACAGTCTTTGGCACGAGTTTGGCGTTGGCCAGGCTGGATGCCGGCACCACAACGGTTTGCTGCTGGATGGCATTGGCGGCTTTGATGATGGCGCTGCTGGCGCTCTGAACAGAGGCAGCAGATATGACCGTGGCTTTGACCGTCGTGTTGTTAGCGAGCTTCAAATTAATGACTTGGGATCCCGCCGTCTTCACGGCGGACACTGGGAGGAAGGCGGTTGCCACGGGCTTGATGGTGACCTGTTTGGGGGTCAGCTCCGCAGGGGCGACTGCGTTGGTGACCACCGCCGACTGCAGAGGCGCCCTGGGCGGGGAGGAGAGGACGGCAGCCGAAGCCGGAGAGGACAGGAGAGACGTCACAGACGCCATCACGGGCCCCGCCTGCTCGGAAGGCTTTTTTCCAGAGTCGAGATCGACCTCTGGCAACACCCTCGTCACTGTTCTCTTTATTTCCCCAGAAGACGTCTTAATGGTTTTTATGCGGACTTTGGGGATTGCTGGTGTCGACCCTGCGGGAGAGGACGGAGACCCCTTGCTGCTGTTCTCACTGGAGATGCTCCTGGGGCTATCGGGCTGCTTCAGGGACACTTTCTTTGTCCCGTCGATGAGGCTCTGGGATTCAGGAGACTTCTCCATGGCTCTGGGACTATCGTTTGCTTCTTTAGGTAACGGAGAGGCCCCCTGTGATTCGGTCACCGGTTCCTTGCAGGAGTCGGAAGCAGCCTTTTTAGCACTAAGTGCTGCTATTGCAGCTATACACGAGGACAGCTTGGACGATGGCTTTGACCTCGACAGCGCGACGCTGCCGAGGCTGGGTTCACTCTTCTCCGAGCTCGGCTTCCCGTCGTGGGCCCGGTTTTCAAGCACCTTTTCAGAGTTTTCCTTCAGCTTATCCTCTGCTTTTCTGGCTTTGAAAGGTTCGTAAACACTCAGATTTATGGAATTTGTTTCTGTCTCTCTCTTAACGACTCTGTTTTTATCTACATTGCCTGAAGGAGAGATTCCAGTTTTGCTCAAACCGTCCCCTCCGAGCGCCTTTGGCTTGTCATAGTCCTGCTGGGCGGCCGACCCCGGCAACACGTTCGCCCGAAAACCGGAACGCACGTCCTCTTTGTCCGGTGGGTCGTCCACTTCGATCTTCTCGTCGTCGTCAAACTCTTCAGCGCTTGAGATGGGGCTAAACTGGCTGAACGTGGAGTCTTTTAAAGTCCCCTCCGAGGCAGGCGCATCTCCTTTCAAGGACTTCGATCCATCTTTGCCATAACTGTCGAGAGAGGATGCGGTGAGAAACCCGTTGTGCAAGCCGTTGCCAGTGGGATTGTGGCCGTCCTTCTCGGCGCCCTCGGAGGAATCGATGTTCCGAACGTTCTTCACGATGACGCTGACGCCCACGTCGGAAGAGGACGGTGTGTGGGAGTCCTCGTCGCCATGGGCGTTCTGCTTGATGTGGCTTTCCTGGTCCTCGTGTACAGACTCGATAGCTGCTTTCGGATCGACCATGTCTGGGATGTCAAATGCTGCCAGGAGGTCATCAAAGTCTGGGGTCTTCATATCCCCCATGGTCATGAATTTGATCAGATGTTCTGTTAAGCGAACAGAAACAATTCCATCAGCAAGGAAAACTTGGTAACGATGGGATAAATATCCCTATGGGATTTACACAAACACAGTGACGATGACCGGGAGAGAGCAAGTTGGTAACTACCCTTCTTACAGCGAGGGGACTCTGAGTGAACAAACGTCCAGAGAACGTGGGTAAAGCCTGGGTAACCACAGCTTCAAACTGATTTCTCCAGAATGCCACACAGCATTCCCATCATGGCACCTCTCTAACAAGAAGGAAGCTGACTGGAACCGGGACGGCACAAAGAGTAGGTTTCGACGTAACACCCAGAAAACTTGCCATGCATCACTGGACTCATCACACTGTCTTCACAAAAAGCTATTCCCGAACCTATTTCGATCTCAACACCATTCGATTCTCCTGGCAAAATCAGCACGATTATAGTCACCACCACGTTTGGCCTCTTGCATTAAAAGGAATATATGACAATCAAAAAAGAAACCAAAAAACCAATTACAGATCTCGACCCGCCCACGGAACAAAGGAGCATCCGAACCCATCACATAATGTCTACTGCTAATAAAGTTCCACCTGAGAGTTAAAAAAAAAAAAAAAAATCCTAAGGAGCTTATTCCATCCGTTTTTAGAATCCTACTTTCCTCTATTATGTTAGGGAAAAAAATACTCTCCTGGCAGAAAAGTATAACGTCCCTTCTTTTTCCCTCTCTGGTTCACTGCTTTTAGTGGTTAACACACGTGGCTGTGGTGGCTGAGGATGACCCTGCCATGACATTGTTCTCAGCGTGGAGCAACATGGACCCCAGGGTGTGGCAGAGCCTGGGAGAAGGGAGGTCTTCTCCTCTGCACTGGGGCTAGATGGGGGCGGAGAACATTCTGTGAATGTCAGCAACGCCCTGGGCAGTAGGAGGACACAGTTTTAGGGAAATGGACGGTCACGGCCATTACTACAGATGAAGGATCGATTACAAACACGTGAAATGCTTGGGGTCTTTAAAGGGCACCCTTTGCCCACCTGCAGAGGACACGTAATCAGATGTAACTCCACTGTGAGAGAGATCTCTCTCCTGCCTGAACCCCAGAGCACTCCACCTGTTTCCAGTATTTTCTGGTATGCAGCACGGCATACATTTGTCTCTTCGTTCCTACTAGCCTGTCAGCTGACTGAAGATGGCAATGTCTCACTCACTGTGACACCATAAATGCTACATGACTACCACGCCACAAAGTCAGGCACGAGCACACTGGATTTCTAACCGGAAGCCGGGCCTAGACCCAGCCCCCGTCACTCACTAGCTCTGGGATCCTCAGGAAGGAAGGGAATCTCTAAGGGCCTATTCCCTCTCCCTGCAGTGGATGGAGGCAAGCAACCAGGAAGAGAGGAAAAATAGGAAACAAAAAAACCAATGTAGAAGGGAAGGGGGCCATAGCTAATTTTAGGCAACATTCCATGGAAGAATCAGCCTGATTTATAGATACATATTCCTAGACTCTTTCCTTTTCTTTTTTTTTTTTTAACTTTCTTTTTTATTTTTTAAAATTTACATCCAAGTTAGCATATAGTGCACCAATGATCTCAGGAGTAGATTCCTTAGTGCTCTTTCCCCGTTTAGTCCATCCCACCTCCCACACCCCTCCAGTAACCCTCTGTTTGTTCTCCATATTTAAGAGTCTCTTATGTTTTTGTCCCCCTCCCTGTTTTTATATTATTTTTGCTTCCCTTCCCTTATGTTCATCTTGTTTTGTGTCTTAAAGTCCTCATGTATGAATGAAGTCATAGGAAATTTGTCTTTCTCTGACTACACTCTCGCTTTGAAGTATACACCCCAGTTCCATCCAATATACAGTAAAATGGCAAGATTTCATTCTTTTGATTGCTGTAGGCATAATACTCCTATTGTGTGTGTGTGTGTATATATATATATATATATATATATATATATATATATAACACATCTTCTTTATCCATTCATCCATCGATGACATTTGGGCTCTGTTATACTTTTAGCCATTGGTCGAGAAGTTAGAACATGGGGTGCACTTGTTCTTCAAAAGTACACCTGTATCCTTTGGGATCACCAATGCCTAGTAGTAAAAGCGATGCTGGGTCATAGGTGTTCTATTTTAGTTTTTGAGGAACCTCCATACTGTTTTCCAGAGTTAGAATCTTTCCTTTTCAATACTTAACGGCTGTTCCTCATTAAAATCTGCTTTAAATCACTGAGAGATTGTCTTGCACATTTTACTAAAGTATTTAATGACTTTTTCGGGGTGGGGTGTATAATCTGTAAAAGATCGTGCATTCCTAGCAAAAATAACTATACCGGGGTCAAGGTAGAATTTCTACTGAGGTGACAATATGCATCCCCGTGAAAATTCACATAAACCACAAATCCATCAGCAGTACTAAGACATCCCCCTCAGCTTGGTCACTCACTGTGGGACACATCCAAACCCTTCTAATAATCTGATGGAAAACTAAAGATGAAATTAGGCACCTGGGTGGCCTAGCTGCTTGCGCTGCTCAACTGCAGCCTGGAGCCTGCTTCGGATTCTGTGTCCTACTCGCTCCCCTCCCCACTCTACTCTCTTCTCTCAAAAATAAAAATAAAAATACTTAAAAAAAGAAAAAAAAGATGAAGTCGGGTGGTGGGTATTAAGGAGGGTACTTGTGATGAGCTCTGGATGTTGAATGGAAGTGATGAATCACTGAATTCTCCTGAGACCGACATTGCACTGTATGTTAACTCACTAGAATTTAAATAAAAATTTGAAAAAAAAGAAGAAAAAAAATCATACAGATGAAATCAACACGCAGGTTCGACAGGGATGAGCTAAAGAACAACTCACCTTGCGTTCACATGTCTCAGAACAGAACTAAGAATGCCACCGCACTTTCCCTAGATGGTCGGCTTAGCCCAGAGGAAACACCCCGGGGCCAGCACTGTCTCAGACAGGTGCCTGTGGGACCGGACAGGAAACTGTATCCCCAGCATCAAACTAGAGCCCAGATAAAAGGTGCGGAGGGAAGAAAACATCAACAGTTCTAGGCTAATATCGTTGTGAAAATATCCATGACGAGGCACGTCTGTGATTACGGTCTTCCTTTTAGAATGAAATTGAACATTTAAACTGCAAAATACAGGAAATGCAAACTCCATCTGCCAGATAATACCCATGAAAGAGTCCACCCACTTAGGAATAATCCCTGAATGTCACTACTGTTATTTTTAAGCAGCAAACTACAGTTACAAATGAAAACTCACCATCAAATCACCATTAGCAAAGCATCTGTCCCTGTGGTCGAACTTTACCCACCATGCTGATCGTTTATAGATCGAGGTTCTTAAAGAACTCAAGACACAGAATCATGAACTACCACCCAACTCCCACTGGAGGTGAAACGGTCTGAAAACTGTTTTGTTTTTTAATTTTTTTAATGTTTATTTATTTTTGAGAGAGAGGAAGAGCACAAGCAGGGGAGAAGCAGAGAGAGAGGGAGACACAGGGTCTGAAGCAGGCTCCAGGCTCCGAGCTGTCAGCACAGAGCCCGACGCGGGGCTCGAACCCACGGACCACGAGATCATGAGCTGAGCCGAAGTCGGACGCTTCACCGACTGAGCCACCCAGGAAACCCCTGAAAACTTTTTTTTTAAGTCACCATTTATCCAAAGCTTGGACCCAGGCTCTAGACGTCCCTGGTGGTGACTAGGCTCTGCCTCGGTCTCCCCATCCCTTTTTTACGGTGACGCGGGCTTTATGACACGTGCCCTCCTCCTGTAATTTGGGTAAACAAAACACATCATCCAGTTCCGCATCTTTCGTCCCAGAGGGCAGTCGGCTCAGGAACAAAAAGAACGCAACAGGCCATTCAAATGCCCACGGGTGATGGGCCCGGGACACGCAATCCCAAGAAAGGATAAAAGGTCCTGCGTGAAACAAAGCTTCTTGAACAAATGAGAGCCCGGATCCGCAATGTAGCTGGCAGGTACCCAGGAATCCTTGGAAGGTTAGTAAATGGATCTCACCCTCTTCCTCTCCATTTTACATGACAGGGACCTGCCATTCGGGCTGGAGGATGGTGCCCACCACGCTGCCCGTATCTCTTCCTATCCGCCCAACTAAAGCAGAGTTAAGGTTAGGAAAACCCCGGAGAGGAACCCCGGGGTGGGGGAGAAGACATTCCTGACACAGGAGCCACTTGTTCTCTGCGGTAACGTGCCCACACACCCTGCTCTCCTGTCCACCTGTGTCGCTTCAGTTTGACACTTTCTCTTGCGGGAAGAGGGTGAACTTGAGGGTGAAACAATGGGACATTTCGAAGAGGTAAGAGGGAATTAGCAGTGGTTCTGAAAACCAGGAGTCGGCCCTCCTAGTTCACCTGAAGGATGTGAAGGTTGAGGACCCGGGACAGGCAGGAGGCGTGAGGGCAGGGCCCCACAGGAGCAGCCGTGCTGCCAGAAACCTAAGCTCACCCGGCGGTGGCCTCACCTCTGCGGGCTTGTAGAGTCATGTTAAGGCCTCACCTCTGCGGGCTTGTAGAATCATGTAATGAATCCTGCTCTCTGTAACTTCACACTTCTTCTATGGTTTACAGAAATGTTTTCCATCCCCACAATCACGCGGGCCTCTTAGCCGTTCCCTTCCCGCATTCAGGAAGGCCAGAGCAAATTTTCCACTTGGAGGGGAAGAAGATGTTTCACTCCCTCTTCACTTCCCCGTTACATCAGGGACAAAGAGTGAGGTTTACATTTGAAAGTGTTCACCATTTTTCACCCCAATTCCTAGGTACCACTGTTTTGAAAATGTTACAAAAGTAAATTTCAGACTTCTCTTTTAAAAGGTAATAGGGGCACCTGGGTGGCTCACTGGGTTAGCATCCGACTCTTAATTTGGGCTCAGGTTATGATCTCACAGTCGTCAGATCGAGCCCCAGGCTGGGTTCTGCACAGGCAGCACGGGGTCTTGGGATTCTCTCTCTCCC